TTTTAATAAACAGCATTTCTTTTTAAATCTAGTGGATTAAGTAAAACAACATGAGTAATTCATAGGAATTGTAACATGGACTTAGGAATTGTAACAGTAAGTAGACATGTATTCAACCAACACGTATCTCTTCACTTGTCCTTCTCCAGATAGCCCCCAAACACACAACACACAGTCCTGCCTTGCCTGGCAGTTTTCAAGGTGCACTTTCCCTGCACTCAGTACGGCTCAGTACAGGCTGATCTCCTGTTCCTCCAGCCTGCTAACCGTTATGGTTTGGGCCATTCATCCTTTGCTTTTTCTTTGAATTTTCAAGTGCCAGCCAAGTCATGGTCAGAGATCTTTGGAGGACTGTTCTGTGCCACAGTGATGTTTTATTACAGGTCTCTGTGTCTTCTAACCGGACTCTGCCATTTCAAAGGGCAGAAAACACGGTTTTGTATTTCCCTCGGCTCACAGCTCTGCTTCTGAAATGCAGCAGACCACTGGTAATTAACCTATTGGTTAACTGAATTTTCGACATTTGTTCAGTATCCTACACCTATTTTTTTAAACTCATTTTCCTACATGCCAGAAATACAGTTGTCAACGAGGTTGATAAAATATCTGCTTTCCTGGTGCTCAAGTACACCTCTACCATTTTCATGTAGGAACACCTCAGAAGCAGAAGAAAGCAATATGGATGGAGCTTGAAGTTTGAGAAACTCGTCTTGAGCCCAGATGTGCATTGCAGAGACCAAGGAACAGTCAATTGCCTTATCAAAGAAAGGGACTCTGTTGGACATGCTGAGATTGTAGTGCCCGATCATCAACTCCTGCCATTCTGCTCATCTCGCTCCTGTGGCTCCTAGAATGATAGGGAAAGGAGACATCTTCTCTGAAAACTATGGTGATGTGGTCAGTGCTGTGTTGCAGGTGGTGCAGGATCCTATGAAGCGCAGAGGGAGTGTCCTCCCCCAGAGGATCAGGGAGGCTTCTCACAGGAGATGACATGTCAGCCGAGCATGGGGGTATGCCAGCCATGTGGTGGGTGTTTCACAAGGAAAGAGCCCTATGTGAGTAAGCCCGGAGCCCTCGAGCCATATCTTCGGCGAGCTGGAAGTGGTTTAACATGATAGGAAACTGCAGGAAGTGGAAGCAATAATTCACTGGGTTGAAAGCTAAGCAGGTGAGGGGGCCAGGAAGGGCATCATAAACTTTTTAGGAGTTTGAACTTTATCCTGAGAGCGCTAGAGAACAACTGAAGGATTGTAATCACCGGGGGATGTTACTGTGAAAGAGCACCCTTGGCTAATGTGCAGAGAGTAGATTCGAGTAGAACAGAATGCAGGTAGGGAGACCCCGAGGCTGTGGGAACGACCTGGGAGAGCGGCAGCTGCCTCCTCTGGGCTGGCGGAGTGCCCATGGGGAGGGAGGGAGTCTGTGGGGCGGTGGGGATAGGCAGAAGCACCAGGGTGTGATTGGTTGTGGACATATGGAAGTTAGAGGGAGTAAGGATTACTCTGGTGTTTCCAATACGGGTGATCAACGAGGAAATGCTCCACGTCACTGAGCGAGGGAACGCAAATAAATGAATTGCAGCAGAAAGATCATGAGTTGAGACATTGGGAATTTTAGGTGTTTGTGGGATATCCGATGGGAGAGACAACAAAGAAATCCTGTGTTTGAGTCCAAGACTCAGGGGATAACCCTCTGACCTGGAAATGGGGATACTGGAGGCACATATAGGAGAAACTTAAACCAAGGTAGGTAAAACTTGCCAGAGGAAATGCAGGCAGTAAAAAGAAGCACCCAATTACAGTGTTTTTATGCAACAGGTCACAGACCTGCTCCAAAAGACTGCTGCATGGTCACTCAATTTTTACTTATTCCTTTGCTCATTTATTTATTCATTCACATATTCATCTGGCCCCCGAAACATGCCATGTGGGGGGCTCCTGACTTTTTCTCCATGGAGTGCTAAAGAAACTTTATGGACCACGGCCTGGTCTGGTGGGCTGTGCTTCATACTAGGCTCAGACCTGGCCATGCTGACAGCCTTCCTAGCTGGGGGACCAGTGACACACAAAACCTCAATCCAGAGGAAGGTTTGTGGTAAGGGGGCTTGTTACTGAACAGCTGCCCATATTGCATCTTCGAGATGTTTTCTGACTGAGGACCAGCCCCTCCACTATCACCTGGGTGAAGCTAGGTCTCTATGTCTGACTTCTATTTCTTGCATGGATGAGGAAGTTAGACAGAATGTAAAGAAAGTCCCAGATGTTCACCCCAAAGCTGCAGTAATTCATGGGACACTGTAGGCTGCCACAGAGACATGGAGGCTTTTGGCCCAATGAAGTCATAGCCCCTGTGCTATAAATTATATTATTGCTCAAAAATATTCCTAGCTTAATGCTCTGCCTTGATAAGTGCCTTTTTGTCCCTCAGTTTTAAAGACTCATTAAGATACTCTTCTTTGGTGAACTATTAAGCTTTTTCCTTTGGTAATAGTTCTCAACTCTACTCACCGTGTACACTCACTTTGGCAGTGGCGTCCTCATAATTCGTGGTGTGATGCTCCTTCCTTAGCCTCAGTATCCCAGAATTCCACCAGATAGGTCACATCCCCACAACAAATCAGATTTGCCTGTTTTGGACAGTCTAGATGAAGGGAATTGTGCTAGTAACTCTAATTTCCCCTTGCAGAGGTGCATGTGATTCTTTGACATAACATCTAAAATGGACAACGTCAGCAGCTCTGGGTTTCATGTGCCCTATTCAGTCTGGCGCTGCTGGCTCGAGTGTTTGTGTCTGGGTCCTGGGCAAAGTGGTCCTAGATAGACTCTTCTTTGGTAAACCTCGTCAGCCTGGGGAGTTTTCAGAGCCAGCCGCCCGTAAGTAGGAAGATAATGGCAGCAGGAAATCTCATTTCTCTCTGGCCTCAGGGCTTAAGTCATTGTACCAGAGCCCGCAGCTAGCTGTACAACTTAGCAATGATTCTCAGCAAAAGCTGGGGTGTCACATATTCCTGTTGTCCCTCACTGCAGTTCTGGGAGAGTGTGGAGAGTTCTGAAAAGTCTGACATTTATTTTCCACAACAGAGATGAGTCTTGTGGCTATTCTCAGGCTTGATGAACATCAGCGTGTCTGCTGTGAGCCTTGCTTTTTCAAAAGGAAATCCAGGTGCTTGCTGGCTAGTCTTTCTGCACGATGCATTCACTTGCTTACCTGCTACCAGGTATTCCTGCTATCAGTGCGTGGGAAGATGTTGGCAGAGAGCAGAGAATGAGAGATCCTGGTCTCATGAAAGCTTCATTGATATTTAGATTCTTACTCCACCCAGCACTATGAGTCACCATCATGAGTTGTACACCATAATTAGCAAAATAACATTTCTGTACAGTAATATGAGAGCTGTTGTATTTTTCTTTTTTGGGGATATATATATATAGCCTGTTGAAGGAAAAAAAAACAACTAAATCATATAGTTTCTTAACCTATACATAGGATCCATGTAAAAAGACATTGTATATTCATGACAAGATAATAAAATGATGTGTGTGTGGAGAGAGAGAGAGAGAGAAAGAAATGTATTGCCAATAATGACAACAGAACTCAGAACTTCACTGGGGTTGGTAGTAGCAGAAGGTTGTCTGGTAGAGGTGAGACTGAAGATAAGCAGGGTTTCCTCATTGTGTTCTGTATTTCTTATTCTGGCATTTATGGACTTCTGTAGCCTATGCCTACTACTGCTACTCTCTTCTAATACAAAAGTCCTTTCCCCCACCCACTCCTTAACCACACCAGGTACCTGTAGATTCACCGTTCCTTGGATGGGTGCCTCCTTGCTCTAGGCTTCAGCTTATGTTTTCACTTTTTCTGAGTATTATCCTGCTGTCTATCATATCTGGGGCCAGATGGCATTTCCATTTACTTAATGGCAATGGGTTAGAACTTCTAGGACCCAAGAGACAAAGGCCATTTAAAGGTCTTACCAATATCTCAACATAATACAGGCCATATGTGAAAACCCCACAGCTAACATCCTATCAATGGTGAAAAACTGAGAGCTTTTCCTCTTAGATCAGG